GTGGCCGAGTCCCCCCCCCCCCAGAACCCGGAGACCTGGCACCTCCTCCCAAGGGGTCCTCTCGTTGGCTCCTGGGTTGTTGTCCTGTAAATCGGGCCTGCTGCCCGCCGTGCAGGGTCCTCCAGTGTCCCCATCCGACTGCTCCTGGGTCCCAGCTGGCGTGCACCTGTGTTCGCCACCTTCATGCCACGACCCCGGAGCATTGGGCCTGCCCCCTTCCCGACCACGTGTCCTGTCCCCACGCAGCCGTACACACAGCTACGCATGCGGGCACTTTTTAGAGGCCATGGTTTTACAGCAGATTCTCAAAGAAGTCCTGCGGACAAGGACCAGAGGCTGATTTATTGATTCCAGAGCTGCATTCAGGCTGCGCCTTCTCCCTGAAGCAGTGACAGTGGCAGCCCCCAAGCCCAGCTCAGAGCAGGTGTCCAGGAACCACCCAAAGGATGGGGGAAGGAGAGGTAGGCGTGGCTTGGAGTAAGAACTGTGCCCCCGCTGCTCTTTGTTCGGGGGTTTGCGCTCAGCCACTCCCTTAGGGGCTGTGTTTTGGGGCCCTTCTTCCTCTAGCGGGCACCCCCACCCCCCAGCCTCTGGCACTGGCGCCGTCATTGTCCTGCCCACACACGGCCATGCCGGCCAAGCAGCCGGATGCTCACGTTGACCTCAGGGTGGGAGGCGTAATTTGGTGGGACCTTGAAGCAGTGGCTTGAGCCTCTCATCCCTGCCCTGCACCCCCCGCCCCCAGGAGGACGGGGTGCTGGGGTGGATTTGACGCAGCCTGACGCATGGGCTCTGTTGGGGATTTCTTGGCACGTGGCAGCTTTTTTGCTTCCGGCTTGGGCATCCCTTTAATTCCCTCAGTGGTGCGAGTGGGAAACTTGGCTTCCCAGAAGCGGAGCACAAGGAAATGCGTCCTCAGGAAGGGTCTGATGGGATAAGAGGAACCCAGCCCCGCCCTGACCCCCGGCCCCCCGCCCTGAGGACCCGGATGGCCGTACTCTGGTGTCTGGCCCACGGGCATTTCTGTGCCATTCTGCATACTTGATTCTCATCCCCTCCTCTTCAAGAACAAATGAACTCCACCATGAACGTCTGGATATCTGGTCTAGCCGGGGAGGGGGAAATTGACGGCGGGGGTGGTAGATGCTGCACAGTGGGGTCTGGATGATCAGCCGGTGCCTGAGACAGGAGGGCGGAGCCAGGCCTTGTTGCAAGTGACCCGAGAGTCACACCTGCTCCAGCCCCTCTCGGGCTTGAAGTTGTAGCTGGAATGTGGCCCCGGAAACGCCCTCTGTGCAAACGTGTCTCCTCGGGGTTAAGTCAGGGTCAGTGTTGTAAAGTCACAGCTCAGGGCTGACTTGGGTACCTCTGCGTGGATTCTTATAAGCGCTTCTTGAAAATGCTTCCTTGTATCTAATTGGAGGCTGCCACTTGTTGTTTTGGAGGGAAGGGACAGCTTGAGACTATCTAAGCTCCATTTATCTGTGCACTCATCCGTTCCCCAACGAATCCACCCCTCCCCCAACCTGTCCTCCTGGCCACCCATCCATCCTTCCACCCCCATGCCCCCACCCACTCATTCATCTGTCCATCAACCCACAAATCCCATCCCTCTCCCACCCACCTGTTCTCCCACCCACCCATCCATCCATCTGTCTGTCCGTCTGTCCATCCATCTACCCATCCATCTATCCAACCATTCATCCACCCACCCACCCATCTGTCTGTCTATCCATCCGTCTATCCATCCATCCATGCCTCTCTAATGTCAGGCACCGTGCTAGGCAGAAGTGGACACAGGCTGAGAGAGTGGCCAAGCTGGTGGAAAGCTGGTCAGGGAGTGGTTTTGGGGGAACGCTCCACTTCTGGGTCCTGCAGTCACATCTCAGCCTGGCCTGAGATTTCCTGTGATCAGTAGGGTGGGGGCCGGAACCTTCGGCGGGTGGGGGCCGGAACCTTCGGCATTCGGGGTGACTGACATTCGACTGACTTTTAAGAAACCAGAGCTCGGTTCCAGCACCCCATCAACCACGTGGGATCTGGGTCAGCTTCCAGTTCTCCTGTATGCTGGGAGTGATTTCCTGGCTGGAAGCATGGCTGGGTCAGTGAGGGTCCCTCGTCTGCTGAGGGCCAGGGCGTCCTGACGGCCTGCAGCTCCTCCCTATGACCCGAAGACACACATCTGTCCTCCTTCCTTCTTGCCACATGATGCCCAGTGGGGGATGCCATTGTCATGGTGATGCGAGGAAGTGGGGGAGAGCCACAGGGAGGAGGGGGAGCCCACCACCGAGAGGTCAAGCTGGGCCATGCCACGAGCTACCGCCATGAAGCCTCAGGTGATGGGGACCCCTGGTCTGGTGGGTCTGCCTTGGGACCTCAGACCCAGGGCCATGCAACTCTGTGACAGAGCTGGGCAGGACCCAGGCCTCCAGCTGCTGGCTCAGTGGGCTCCCCAGGCCCCCACCCCATGGAGCACAGGCCCCGAGCCTTGGTAGTGGAAGCTGCAGGGTCCAGGCGTCCATCCCCACTGGACTGCCCTGCTGAGCACGTCAGCCTGACCCCCAGCAAGGAGGCTGCCAGCCGGGTCTCCTGTGAGATTGTTAGTAACAGTCTTCCTGCCAGAACCCGTGCCCTGGGAGATGGGGAAATGCTCGTTTCAACCAAAGGGGCGTTTTCGTCTCCGTGGAGGTGGTTAATTTGGGCCCATTGCTTTTGGACGAGCTGGCAGCTCCCTCCTCCTGGCAGCATTCACCCCCCTCTGGCCCTGTCCTCCTGGAGGCTGGCCTCTGTGCCCGGCGTGGGCTGGTTCAACCTAGTCGGGACCATGCACCCATCTGCAGGTCCCTGCGGGAGAGGCAGAAGTGGGCGCTTGCACGTGGGTGTGCAGGGCACCCCGGGGAGCCCCGGAGAGTGTGTCGGAAGCCCATTTCCTTGAAGGGCTGCTGCGTGGGCTCCCTGTGCTGGTGGTGGGCATGGGGGGGCCAGGTGTGGGTGTGGTGCCGACAGTGTGCCCTTCCCATTTCCACCCCAATCGCTTCTTTACCCAGAATGCGCTGTTCCTTTTGCGGACCTGCCCCTTTCCTCCAGTTTGTGAACTGGGATCTCATATCAGTCTCCAGATGAGATCCCAGTTCGGGGTGACAGAGCCGGTGGGCTCACCCACCCTCCCCGCGAGCACGTGCCACGTGCAGGTGGGGCTGGGGCCGGTGCCGCGCCTGCATTCCTTCCCGTGAGCCCGGCTGCGCCCAGGGCTGTGTCACCTGCATCTCACGCCCTAACACTCCTCACCTGTACTGGCCGGCCCCCAGCACCTGGGCAGCGTGGGCTGGCTCCACCCCCTTTCCCAGGAGTCAGACCCAGGTTCACTTTGCAGTAGTGACAGGTGCGGCCCGAGACCCCACGTTCCCAGGGAGCCCCCTTTTCCTCCCCGTGAGTTCCCCTCCCGTGGATTCTGAGCTGCCCAGGTAGACGCCTGTCTGCAGGTGACGACCCTGCCGTGCCGCCCTCCTCACACCAGCCGGGAAGCTTTCTGACACCTGGGCCCTTCTCTTACTCCTCCGAAGATGCGTCTTCGGGGTGACAGAGTTTGCGGGGACCCTGGGCATCCCCCCAGTACGGAACTGGGAGATTTTCATGGAAAATAAGGGTCTCAAGTCCAGATAAGTTTGGGGCTCCTGGCCCCCCGCCTCTGTCTCCTAAAGACAGGTTCCCGTGCTCCCTGCCGAGGATGCCCAGGGGAGCCCACATCCCTGTGTCTGGGGTCCCCCTGGCGTGTGGAAGCAGGATAGTCGCACGGACGGAAGCTTCCTGCTGTCCCTGACCCGGTTCCCTCGTTTGCCAACAGCGATGCCAGGGCCTGGACAGAGGGACCGACTTCCGGTGTCCGGGGCCGAGCTGGGCATGGGGCCCTCACTCTAGGCACGTCCATCTGGGTGGTCCTGCATCACACAGCCGCATAACGTGCCCCCCGTTTCCTTCCACGAGGGATCGGACAGAAGCCCACCTGCTCCTGTGCTCGCTCCGGGGGGCCCGTGGTGGACCTCAGGCTGGGGGCCCGGCCAGGGCGGCGGTGCCGCTGAGACCTGCTCACTCCCCTGACGTCTCCTCTCCCACAGGCCCTTCCCCTGGGAGGAGACCGCGGAGAATGACGATGACGCCTACCGCAGCCTGGAGGAGCTGGCAGAGTAAGGAGGCGGGCGGGGGAGGGCGGGGAGCGCCTGCCCGGCCGTCCCCACGGGGGCGGGGGTGGCTCCCCTGCCGGAAGGATGCGCGGTTCTTCACCCCACATTCCAGGAGGCTCCCAGCGTGTCTGCTGGTGACTGGCTGCGGCCCTCCCCCCCCC